GTTTCTCTCTCCCGCCATCTCATTTCCGCCGGGGGCCTGGCTTTGGGCTCTGCCCTTGTTGAAACCATGTTTGTAAGGCCTCCGAGTGACTCAGAAGCCTGTCATCCGCTTGTGTTTAATCTCTGAACTTTGGTTTCCTCATGCTGTAATGCCAGCGGGTGCGGCCAAGGTCACCAGGGGGAGGCTGGGGAACCCTGGGGTGCGGGCTAGGTTCCTTCTTCTTAGGGAGACACAGAGCCACTCTCTCTGGGGTCAGGGCTGCCAAGAGCTTGTGGTTCCAAATCTTGGTCCCTCTGAGCCTGGCTTAGCTAGGGAGGGTGGTCACCCATTCAGAGGCCTGCAAAGCGCAAGGGTGGCTGGGACAGAACTGGGAGAGGGTGAACACAGCCCCTCGGGCCTGGGAGCGCTGGGGGCCCTGCACATACTTCGAACCTCCTGCCAGGACAAGGCCAAGGCTGCCGGGCAGCAATTCAGTGGAAGTGAGTCCTTCCCCTGGGGAGGCCATAGGGAAGCCCTGTCATTACCAAGTCCACTGCCAGAGGCAGGAGGAAGGGGACACACAGATGGGACCCCTTTCGGCTCTGTGGTCACTCTCCTGCCCCCTCATGCAGAATCTACTGTCTCCTCCTGCAAGGTCTCCTCCCCTTACCCCTGGACCCCAGGTGTGAGCAGGTGTGCCCACTTCCACAGGTGTGTGGGCAGGAGCTGGTGGGAACTCAGCCCCAGTCATACCCACAGCTGGATTTCCTCTCCCTCTGCTTTCAAAATCCGAGACAGAGCAAGCTTTCAATAAGCTGTGTGAATAGATATCATGTTTATATAAAGGAAACCTTGCTTCAATTACTTTGGCTTCCTGACTTTGTCCCCATCTACCTAAAGAAGATCCTAAATCCCATGCATGGCACTCACTAAGTGCTCAATAAATACTTGTTGAATGATTCCTGCTGTGAGAATTCTTTCTTCCAGCCTGGCCACATGAGGAGTGATGGTGGCACAATCCATGTCCCCAGAAGTCCCAAGAACAGAGCTGTGACTCAAGAGCACGGGTTCCCCAAGGACACAGGTCTGGGCAGCATCCACATGGGAGGGTGCACGTGCCCACACGCCACCTGCAGGCACGATCGCATATTTGTGTAAATGGGTGATGAATGAGCCATGTCCTTATTGGTAAGTAGAACTTTATCACAGCGCGATGAGCTCCGTGCAAGCCCTTCACCTGCTGAGCCTTTGCCCGGCTATCCAGAGAGCTTGAGTAGCTTGTTCAGATGACACAGCTGGTAGAATTGAGATGCCCCACGCCCCCACCCCAGGTCAGAGACCAGAGCATGAAAGTCTTCTCCCATGTTCACATGGAGAGTAGAAATTGCAGAATGGGGTTGTCCCCTGGTGACAAAGGCAAGTAAGTCCATAGACATGCAGAACTGATCCGACCCCAGACTAAAGGGGCTTAAGGATACTTGTTTCCACTCCAGGTGTCCAGCTCACACTGAGGACATGTGATCATGGTTATACATTACAGATCAGATGTCCCATTTCAGCAGATAACCATCATTTCAAAAATGAATAAACATGCTCATTGGAGGGGCAGTCAGCCTCACAACAGGTTTTCTGGAGCTCTTTTGGAAGCTCTACTCCAGACCTTCCCTGACTTCTTCCCTCTTTCCCATCAGAGCACACCCACCATGTGCCTGTCCTCGGATGGAATTGAAGAAGGACTAGAGAAAGGAGTGCTGGGTAATCAGAGCATACCCACCATGTGCCTGGTGTTGGATGGAAGTGATGAAGGACTAGAGAAAGGAGTGCTGGGTAATCAGAGCATACCCACCATGTGCCTGGTGTTGGATGGAAGTGATGAAGGACTAGAGAAAGGAGTTCTGGGTAAAGATGAGCTGTTAACAGGCTCTGCTTTCCCTGCTAAAATAATCTGTAATCCTGTTAAAATACTTATATTTCCATCAAGCTTTGAACTGGCGATCTTGACATTGGAAATGTTAGGCTATGAGGCTGCTGGAGAAGGGACTTGGGGAAGGTGAATTTCTGAGATGACATTCGTTACGTCATCTCAGCCAACTGATCAACCCCAGGGATGACTGAATGTATCCTGTGTGCACAGATATCTTCAAGGCAAAGCTCAAGGCCCCCACAGCAAAGAACAACCAGTCAATGAGAAATGGGGCCTCCTGGTCCACCCACTCATGAAGAGCTGCCCCCTGCCTAACATTGCTGAGCTGAACTTAGAGTCTGATCCCCCTCCAGCTGAGTCTTCACAAGGAACTGTAGTTCTATCTGACACCCATTTCCAGCTTTGTGAGAGGCCCTGAGCCTGGAGGACCCAGCTCAGCCACATCTGTATTCCTGACCCACAGAAACTGTGAGATAGTAACTGTCCTTTCAGGCTGCTAAGCCTTAGGGCAATCTGTTATAGAGCAATAGATCATGTATACAGGGTGATCTAATGGCCATTTGGGACTTCTAATTGCAGCTACCATTAGCACCATCCTAACCCTCCATGGGCCATGCCCAGTTAATTTTGATCAAGCAAAGATCACAGGCTTTCAACCAAAGATCACAGGCTTTCAACCATCGCTGATAATTGTCATCACCTGGGGAAATTGAAACAATAACACAGCAAAGACTGATGCCTGGCTTTCACCCCAGAGATTCTTAATTATTTGGCTGGGAGTGTGGTCTGTCCAATAAGGGTTTTAAAAGATCCCCAGGAGATTCTAACTGGAGTAAACTTGGGTAACCACTGTTATAGACAATAGTTTCCCCCCTTAGTTCCTCTAGTGTGCTGTACTCAGCTGCTCAGTTGCGTCCAACTCTTTGTGACCCCATTGACTGTAGCCTGCCAGGCTTCTCTGTCCATGGCATTCTCCAAGAAAGACTACTGGAGTGGGTTGCTCTTTCTTACTCCAGGAAATTTTCCTAACCTAGGGCTCAAACCTTTGTCTCTTGTGTCTGCCTGCATTGGCAGGTGGGTTCTTTACCACTAATTCCACCTAATCAGTACAGTGGGTCCTCATGACACATGATTCTGTATTTGTGAATTCACCTACTTGCTAAAATCTATTGGTAACCTTATCAATACTTGCAGTACTTTGTCTGATACCAAGTGAGCAATAAAGGACATACATGGAGAGAGTCCAAAACACATAAAACAAATCAGCTGACAAAGCCTGAGAGAAGCTAACCTATGTCTGCTTTTCCCTAGTCTATATCCACTTACTTACACACGCATCTCCCTGTGCATCTCCTCAGAGGTTTTGACACTTCCTTCGCAGGTGTGCGGTCTGGACCCTTTCTCTTCCCTTCTAGCCTCTTCCACAGATCAGGGGTGGGGGTGGTATTTTGACAATTCTGTGGTCGAAGCCAACAGAACTGAGATGCTCTCAGTTTGCCCTCTGAGCACTTATTCTGTTTTTCTACAGGGATGTGATATGGTGTGACATGTCCACAGTTACACAGGTTGATGAACTTCTACATGTGGACACCCCTGTGAAGTCATCACTGGATCAAGCTTTCAAGATCACTTTAGATCTCAGATCTCTTGATCATTTTAGGTCTGAGCCACCTACCTCCTTTTTCCTGGTGAGGGACATTAGGTATGACCTCACCTGTCGGAGAGACCACACCTACTACGCCATGGCCAGGAGTGGCTTTTCTGTTTAGGTTCAATAAATGGCTATAAATTAATAAAATTCATGTGATAGTCTTCCTATCGCCAAACCAAACAAAACGCACACAGGGATCGGGAAAGGAGGGTTACTCCCTTTAATTGCCATGAAAAATGTCGGTATTACTTAATTAGCTGAGTCTTTGAAGATGAGTCTTGTAGAAATATAAGTCTTGAGCAAGGGAATGTTCCCCCTTAGCACTAAGCAAACATTCATGGATGGTTACTTTTACAAAATTTATTTACATCTACACCTTCTGAATGTTTTGGCCTCCGAAACACGCTGATAATATCTTGAGACATCAAATGTGCACAGTATGCTTGCTTCCCACAGGTTACAGCAAGGTTTATGAGAGGGTTTTCGTTCTTGCCCATCTTATGCGGATTTATGGCTGGCTTGATTTTTGAGCAAAGTCACCCAGCAAAGCAGTTTCTGATCATATGTGTGAGAAAAACTTCCAAATAGTTACTGTCAAATGTAATATGCATGTTGTTGTTTAGTCATGTCTGACTCGGCAACCTCATGGACTGTAACCCACCAGGCTCCTTTGCCATGGGATTTCCCAGGCGAGAATACTGTAGCGGGTTGCCATTCCATTCTCCAGGGGATCTTCCTGACCCAGGGATTGAATCCATCTCTCCTGCTTTGGCAGACAGATTCATTACCGCTGAGCCACCAGGGTGTGTGTGTGTGTGTGTGTGTGTGTGTATTTATTTAAAATATATGAATTTATGGGGACTTCCTTGGTGGTTCAGTGGATAAGACTGTACTCCCAGTGAAGGGGACCCAAGATTTGATCCCTGATAAGGGAACTAAGATCCCAAATGCTGGAACCAGGCACAAATAAATAAAAATAAATATTAAAAAAATTTTTTTTAATATTTACTTAAAAATGTATATTTAAGATGGCTTATGATCTTGCCTTATAGATTCTGTGGTGTGCAGGGACCCAGAACAGCCCCGACTTGGTCCCTGGAGGAGCCGACTCCAAAGGCAAATAACACATTTCCTGCCCTCCAGGGAAGGGTTCCCTGCCCTAAGCTAAGCTCTCCAGTGCTGGAGTCTTCCTGGCATCAAGGAAATAAACGGAAGGAGCGCTTCCCAATGATCCTGGGTGGGAGCTGAGTTTTGACTCACTTTGACTAACTCAGGACAAGGACAAGCCCCTGCCTGCGGGCCCATTCCTGAGAGGAGGTGGGTGGGTGGAAGTGTTGCCATGGTGACAGCTGGTCAACAAAATGAAAGAGAAAAGAGAAATCTGGTTTAGGATGAAACATGAGTCTTAAAAGGAGGCAGCGTGTGGATGTGGGAGGAGGAGGGGAGGAAAGGCAGGGGGTGTATCTGACAGCTGGAGGAGGGCCCGTCACACGGTTATGAAATCCAGCCTCTGAAATAACTGGCCGTGGGCCAGAACCAGAGCCAGGTGCAGTGACCACCACGGTGAGTTGGGAGGTGGTGCCCTGAGCTAGGTGAGGAGTCTGCTGGCACGTCCCCAGCTTCTCTGTTAGAGTCCTGGACGGTCTGGCCCAGATTAACTTTGAATTTGTGTGTGTTTGCATTCTGCGGCTTCTCTGGAGACGCGAAAGGAAGATGGCCCACAGTAAATGAGTTTTCCCCACCCCTGGCACTCAGGTTCTACCTCTTAGGTAGAAGATCATGGGCATACCTCACCCTCTGAACCCCAACGAGACAAAGGGAAAGCCATCATCCCAAAGGAGGACAGATTCTCAGGGCACTGTTTTCCCCACGCTTCTCCTGGAGGGCACAGGGAGTGAACAGCAGGTGTGGGAGGAAGGAGCCCGAGGGGTTTGGAGGCCCCATGGGTGCAGCCACTGAGAGGCCCAGGGGCCTGGGGATGAGCGAGTGGTGTGTCCCCAGGGAGTGGGGGCTGCAGGAAGGAGGTCGGCTGTCTGAGGCGGTCAGCCATCAACAGCTGGAGTCTGATGGTGCCATAACCAATAGCAATGGGATGACCCAAACCAGGACGTGGGAGCACTGGAGCATCTCCAGTGAACCTCACAGAAAGGTCCCTCAGCCAGGCGGGAAGACTCTCAGAGATGATGAACCACGGGCCATGGTGGGGGTGTGACCCCTGCCTGCCTCACCCCAACGGTGTCATGGCTTCTCTTTTTGTGCAGCTGATGGTCTGCCCATGCTGAGCTCTATTTGCTTCCTGGAGGCAGGTTGGAGTCCTTGTAGCCCAGCCAGCCTCACCAGCAGCTTGTCTCTGCCCCCAAGACACAGGGTCATTGGCCAGCAGCCCCCTGTGTCCCCTCCCCCAGTCCATCAGCAAGCCACAGGTGAGGGCAGGAAGTGATGAAGGGGAGGTCAGAGAAGAGTCTCAGTCTCATCCCGCCTGCCTCCCCACACATGGGGGGACAGCTGACTCCACCCTGAGTCACGCCTTCGCAGCCAGAGACACCTCATTCCTCGGCTTTATCCGTGCAGACAGACTCCTTAAGCCTCTTTCATCTGTGCTGAGGAAATTCAGAATCCAGTCACCCAAATCTCCATCTCCTTCTGGAGCAGGACAGACATGTGTCTGTGGCTGATGGATGTGGGTGGAGGCGTTGGGGGGCACATATCGGCATGGTCCTCAGTGCACAGCTTTCCAAATGTTCTGGAAAATCTGGGTGAGCCCCTGCTCCCCACCCGGACACCCCTGGGCCTCTGCTGGCTGGCTAGTGCCCCCGAAAGTCTCATTAGTGGTGGCTTGGAAAAAGACCTAGAGCTCTTTATATACAGAGATCATTCTAGAAAACTTGCAGCCCCAACCAGTCACCAAAGGCAAAGGAAGAAGGAAATTTATTATGCTGGCATCAACCACACATGGGCCAGGAAGCTGTTCAGTGCCTTTTTGTGTGGTTCTGATAAAAACAGTTCTGCCAGGTAGATGACACAGAAGCAATGTGGGTGTTCTCCAGACCATTTCGTGGTCCACATTTCCTGCCTCTTCTCCCCCTGGTCCTAGATGGGGGATGTGGCTGAAGAGATGGATGCCTCTTCCAGGCTAGCCCCCAGGCCTCGGGCAACTCTCTGCCCTCCACTCTTCCCTAGTTGGCTGGTTAGGGCGGCAGGTGGGTTGGAGGATCACATGGCTTTGCTTCAGTGAGAAGGGCTAGCTTCACTGCATTTAGTCCCCGAGGCCTGGGGCTGCTTGTTACAGCAGCTGGTGGTTCCTTGGCCTAATACAGCAGGAATCACACCCATTTTATACACTGCACAAATGGCCCAAAAGAAGACACAGAAAGAGCTCAGATCTCCCCAAAGCCCCCTCTCTTTGGTGAGCTCTGGGCTGCTGCCTCTGGTGGTCATTGCACTGAGGTTCCAGTAGTACCTGTGTCCTCTCCTGAAATGCCTGTGACCTATCCTCCCAGGGGCCAGCGTTGGTCTGTGGGGTCACAAACCTCAGGGCCGAGGGCAGCAGGATGGTGATGCCCAGCCTTCCTGATGTCAGGGACTGCCCCTTCAGGGCCTCCTTGTTCCTTTACAGAAACATCCCAGGTGGGGAAGAGGTTTGGGGGCCCGACTCTGGGGACAGAGGTACAGAGAAAGCACAGGACTGTGACTACCATCACTCAAGGGTTTCAGAGAGGAAAGAGCCAGGATCCCCGAGGAACTGTTTAGGGGATGGGACTCCCCAAGGGCACGGGCTCTTTGCCAGGATTCTTTGGGGGTCTGTGCTGAGTGCCCCACCCCTCAACCCACTCTGTGTCCAGGCAACACAGTGTGAAATAAACACAGACTGGGCTTCTAGTTTAGTCTGGGGGACCATTCATTCCAGCTACTGTAACAAAACACCACAGGCTAGTGTCTTATAAACAAGAGACATTCATTTCTCCCAGCTCTGGAGGCTGGACTTCCTAGATCAGGGGACCAGCAGGTTCAGTGTCTGGTGAGAATTCTCTTCCTGGTTCATAGACAGCATATTCTTGCTGTGTCTTCACCTGGAGGAGGGTCGGGGGACTTTCTAGGGTCCCTTTATAAGGACGCTAATCCCATCCTGGGGCTTCCACCCTCAAGATCTCGTCACCTCCCAGGCACCCCACCTCCTGACATGATCCCCTTGCTGGCTAGGAGCTGACACCTGGATTTTTGGTGGACACACGTCAGTCTGCAGCAGCAGCGAGGTAAACCGGCAATGACTATGCCATGTGAAAAACGCTGCGTGGACCGCCTCGGAAGCATCAGAGGAGAGATGGCCCTTAACCAGCCCCAAGGGTCAGGACACGAGAACTGATGGGGGAGTTGGTGCTGGGGACAGAGAGGGAGAGGGAGCCCCGGGCAGAGGCCAGAGTGGGGCCACCATCTGGCCAGAGCAGAGGCTCTCTGGGGTCCTTGTGTGCTGGGCCTGGCGGAGGAGGGCTTTTAGGAGGAAGGGGAGGGGGCCCCCACTGGGAACTGAGACTGTAGGACACCCCGAGGGCCTGGGAGCAGGGGCCCGTGTCACCAACTTGCACTCTCACTGGCTCCGTTTGCTGCCTGCGGGTTGGGAGCCAGGTCAGGAAGCAGCCTGGGGACCAGGCGGAGGCTGCTGCCAAGGTCCGGGCAAGAGACGAGGAAGACCAGGGAAGGCTATGGAGCTCCGCCCCCTACAGCTTTCCAACCAAGAGCAGCTTCGGTGAAGGTGGACCTGGCGTGGAGGTGAACTCCCATGGAGGGTCAGGAATCACAGGGCAGTGGTCATGGTCTGGAGCAAAGAGGAAGCCATGGAGGCACCGCGAACTTGGGAGGGGACCATCAAGAGAGGTAGGATGCCTGGGTTGGGACCCTCGCTCTGCCGCATGGAGTTTTACCCCTCGGAAGCGTCCTTCACCTTCCTGCACCCCTATTTCCCCATCTGTGAAGTGGAAGTCTCTCCCCAAGGAGTGTGGTGAGGACTGAAGTAGTGCTTCAAGTAGTAACACTTCTCACTTTGTACCCAGGCAATGAGAGGTATTGCTACTATTTTTATTACTGTTATCACTGATGGGATGCTGATGTGATAAGCAGCCAGAGTGGACATTGTCCACCGAGTAAAGTCCAGCGCCCTGGGCCCCACATGCTCTGACTCACCTTTCCCATCATCCCCTAAGGACTGGATGACCTTTCAGCAGATGCTCAACCAGCAGGTTGAATAAAGGAGAGAATAAACCCAATGCATGCTCTCCCTGACCCTCTCCCTGACCCTCCCCTTGACCTCTGTGTGCCACGGCCCTTGGCCAGCCCTTCCTCCAGCCACCCCATTTGGCCAAGACGGGAATAAACCAGGCCTAAGGAGCACTGAGGATCAAGGTGGGGAAGTTCAGTGACCAGACCTTTGAAGCTGTAGTCACGGCTAAACATTTTCTCTGTGGATCTCCTTTTGCCTCTTGACCTCTCCACACCTCTGAGCTTCCGTGAATCAAATCATGATGCCACTTACTTGCTACGTCACCTTGTGCCTTGGGGGGTTATTTATGGGTGACAGTAATAACCCACCTTTAGAAAGAAGTGGTACCTGCCAGGGTCCTGGGCACCTCCTCATCTAACCTTCCCAACAAACCTTATCCCCATTTTACAGATGAGGAAACCGGACCTTAGTAACTTGGCAGTGAAGCGCAGATTCCAATACATGGCAGAGTTGGACTCTGACCCCTCTTGGGGTCGGGCCAGTAAACTCAGCTCCTCACCTCTGGAAACCACATCCTGGGTTCTTGGAGAGCCAGTGTCAGCCAGTCGTTTTTTTGCTATTCTCAACGAACAGCCATGGATGGATTGCTTGACCTGAAAGACTGTTTTAAATAAAACAGAATATGTTTCTCTTAAGGCGTCCAATCATTTAAAAGATCATTTCCAACTCATTTCCAAAACGCCTTTGGCCAAGATTAGTCCATTACCCCCAATCTTGCGGTCACGAACCCGCCCCCCCCTTCCCCATCCATGCACGCTGTCTGGATACCAAGCCAAGAGCAAGAGGCAGAGACTCAAATCTATTCCAGGCAAGGACTTAAGGGACTTGAGGTGAAGTTCTGCAAACAACACTGCATTTAATTTTAGATGAGAACTCGACTGGCCCTTGCCCATTTGCTTTGATGATGCGTCATTGTTTAAAGCTGAAATATTCTTTGCATTCCCCTCCCGAAGCTGCAGTTATATTAGAGGCTGGCTTGACAGACCAGATGTTTATGATTGTGCGTGTCTACTGATCAGGACCCTCTGCCTGGCATTTTCCAAGCCACCCAGGAAGGTGTGTTTTGTCCAGAGTGAGAGAGTATCTGTAAAATGTCCTTTGAATAAGGACTGTGAGGTGTTCTGAGAAGTCTTGACTTTATTTAGACATTCTGTTTCTTCACAGTTTCCTCCCCAGAGGGCCCTTGGCTCTCTCTCCAGACTGTGTGTGTTAAAAAAAAGGCACCATGTGGGGGTCTGCGGGTCTTTGTGTGGGGCTTCATGACTGCAAATCAGGGAAACACAGATTTTTCTTATGAGGCAGATTGCATCATTCATACTTGAAAATCCCACGTGAAGCCACTTGATTAAATATTTACATGGTCCAGGTTACCCAGAGGTATTGTGGATCTTGGAGAAGAGTACAGGGGAAAAAAAAAGCTCACTTAATCAAAGATCAAAAGTTCACCGATAGCTGTGGTCGGTGCAAAACTGCACTGAGGGTAGACACTCCAAAATGTTTTCTGACATGCTGTTCTCAGTTTATTAAGCACTTCACTGAGCCATTCTCTATGGAGGGGAAGACCCATAAAAGAGTTCATGCACTTACCGTGCCACCCCCCGCCAAAGTGCATCTATATAAAACTGAGTTACGGCTGTAGGACAAACCTCCCATACAAGGACCTTTGGGAGAGGATTTCGGGTTGTACCAACTGTGATTTATCGGGGCCCCATTCACTGAAGCTTGCCATAATCTGGAGTTGGAGCCACACCTCCATCCTCTAAAATCTCTCCCGCTTCCAAGACGGTGATTTCAGGCAGGATGCCCTGGTCCCTTGTAAAGGACCAGACAGCCGGCCAATTCTGTGATGCTGAAAATACCAGACTGTCCTCAGATGCTGGGCTCGATCCAGTAAAGCATCTTGGAAAGCATTTTCCTTGTGCCAGACATTCTCTATTACAGGAACTTTGGGAATTAAAGGTGAAGTCGACCCCCCACATACCGAGTTTCAACTTCCCCTGGGGAGGAGCCCAGGGTGTGGAGATGGACCATCAGGATGGTGTCTCCTTCCCGTGTCCAGGTGGAGACTGTCGCCTTGTCCCTGTTTCTGCTCAGTAGCCTGCTCCTGGGGGCACTGTGCCCGTCCCTATGCAGGAAGGGGGCCTGGGGATCCAGTCATGGATGGGGCTTGTGTGCCCAGAGTATAGGAGCGAGGTCTAGCCCTGTCCATTCTTGGCCGCTGCCCTCCCAGCTTCTGATTGGAGCTTCCTGCCTTGGCCCTGGGCTCCTCGAGGCTGGGATGAAGATGAGAGATGCAGGGGGCAGCGGTGCGGTGGTCCTGAAGGGCCTTTTTGCCCAGGTACCATCGCTGGCCTTCTCTGGGGGTGCATTTGTTTTCTGGTAAGTGGCCAGCACAACAGCCTTGTCTGACACGGGGACACCCTCTCTAGCCAGGCTCCTCTCTCCTCTCCCAGCTCTATTCCCACCATGCACCCCCCGCATCCCTGCTCCCCACAGGAGCTGCCTCCCTTTCGGGTGGGCCTGTCCTTCTGCCTCGTCTGCTCAGCTCCTGGGAAACCTCGGGCCACCCTCCCAGGCCACGATGCAGAAATACCACCAGAAAGTGCTAGCCGGCTTCTGAGCCTGCAGGGAGGCCCCCCAGGCAGGCGCTGAGTTCCATCTTCTCCCAGGCTTGGGTGGCCCCAAGACCACACTGTAGTGGTGGCCCCATGAGGGTATCCAGGCTGCGAACCCTCGGCCAAACAACTTGGTGAGGTGTTCTCTGAGACCCGTCACTTTGCTTGTGAACATGATGTGGGGCTGGGGAGGGGAAACGTTCTGTGTGCTCAGACTCTAAGAGGAAAGACGCCGACAAAGAGCACGTGACGAAGCGCTGGCTGGACAGGGCGGGCAGGGAGGTGAGCACGGAAGATCTCCAGGAGGGAGAGGTCAGCGGTGCTTTCCTCCTGGAACACCAGGTTGAGTTTGTCCGGGATTGTAACAGGACAGTTGCTACTTTCTTCAGGAGCCGCCTTTGATGTATTGTTTGCTCCATTAGCAAGATCAGACATGCCCAGGGCTTCCTCTGCTGCTCTAACAGGACATGAGCTGAGATGAAACACTTGGCCTGGCTGAACTCAGGGAAGGTCTGGTTATCAGGGGAGTAAAATCCAGCCTGAAGGACGCCGGGTGACTCATAGCACCAGTTTCTCTGATGGGCATTTTTTACTTGGTGAGGTGTCAGCGTACAGCGTGGGGACTCCCACACGTGGGGAGTCCAGCAGATGCCTCAGGGGGTGTGCACAGCCAGGGGTAGGATCTGGGCTCCCTGTGAGGGAGGACATCCTGATTACCAGAACCTTCTCCCAACTCACAGTGGAGAGCTCCCTGTCCCTAGAAGTGTTCAAGCAGAGTCTGCACAACTCAATGCTTCTTGTAAGTCCTGCTAAATTCAAAGCTCCAGGAAGCACAGGTCTATAGAGACCTCAGAGCTGCCTGATGGTTTGGCATCTCTGATGGTTATTTAACCTGACGCTGTGGTTTTCATGAGCTGGACCATCATTTCTTCACCAGGGGATGACTGATGCTCTTAAGGCTCTATTCTCTCCCTGTGAGGTCAGATAAAGGTTGAGCCCTTATCGTAGGAAGGCAACAGGAGCAAGCGACAGGCTGCTGCTTATGCAGGGAGCAAGGGTTGGAATTCACATACCCCTGTGTTTTTCGAGCCCCCAGAAAAGACTCCCACAGCAGCAGCTGCACCAGCCAGAGCCCCCGTGGGTGGGGGTACCCAGCCCTCCCAGCACAAATCGCGAGGCCTGCCAAGGCTGCAGGATGCTCGTCACAAGGACTGCTTTATTCCAAGGCCTTGGCTTTGGAGGGGAAGGACAGGAAGTTTTCACCTCTCTTGCAGTGGATTTTTTTTTTTAAACTTGTTTTTTGGAAAAATTTAAAAAAGTTTATTTCTTTATTTGACTGTGCTGGGTCTTTTTTGTTGCTTGCGCTTTCTCTAGTTGTGGTGAGTTGGGGTTACTTTGCACTGTGGTGCTTGGGCTTCTCATTGTGGGGGCTTCTTGTGTTGTGGAGCACAGGCTCTAGGGCACAGACTCAATAGTTGAGGCGCCCAGGCTTAGCTGCTCCGTGGCATGCTGGAATCTTCCTGGATTAGGGATCAAAGCTGTGTCTCCTGCATTGGCAGATAGATTCTTTACCACTGAGCCACCAGGGATGCCCTGCAATGGATTTCTACAGGATAGCAGGTGCTTATAACATTTTAAAAAATGAAAGAAGTGTATTTCAACATATAAAATAAAGTTTAACATTTCTCACTTGGAGCAAAGTAATCTCCATTACTGTGCGGCTCCGTCAAGGGCTGGACTGGGTCATTAACTTAATAACAATCCTTTGAGTCCTGAAGCCTTCTGTCATCCTGAGAACAGGACAACAGAGGACGAGATGGTTGGATGGCATCGCTGATGTGATGGACATGAGTTTGAGCAAGCTCTGGGAGTTGGTGACGGACAGCGAGGCCTGGCGTGCTGCAGTCCACTGGGTCGCAAAGAGTCGGACATGACTGGGTGACTGAACTGAATTGAGTCCCAAAGCATGCCTAGTTCATTGGATCAGTGCAATGGGATGATCTGGAAAGGACTGCATAACTAGTCAAGCGAGTGTTGGTTTTATGAGTGACTGGTGGTGGGATGGTGGGGAGGGGTGTTTTAGATCCAGGGTCTCTGAGGAAACATAGGATCATATCTTTCCTGGGCTGCAGGGCATTAGGAATCTGCTAGTCCACCATTTTCTTTTTGAAAAAATAGTAATTAAAAAAAATTTAGTTTTTATTCTTTTTTTAAAAAAATAAATTTTTATTTATTTTTTGGCCTTGCTGCGTAGCATGTGGGATCTTAGTTCCCTGACCAGGGGTTGAACCCGCATCCCCTGTATTGGAAGCACAGAGTCTTAACCCCTTGACTGCCAGGGAAGTCCCCTAGTCCAGTATTTTCTGACTGTGTTTCCTGG